ATAATAATAATGTAGTTTTTAATTTAAAATAGTGAATGTTCTATTAGTTTTATTACCTTCTTATTAATTTAACAGCTGTAGTGCTAATTTTAACTATTTTAGTACACTATCATTACCAAGCCAAAGGTGGGTGACTTTTAATCCATGGCCCTCGAGCCAGTCTTTCATTGTTTTTTGTTCAGACATTCCTCTATGTCGTATATCCCTGGTGTACAAGTTGCCGTACAGCGGTCACTTGTGGTTGCTGTGAGGATGAACACAGTGACACTAATGTGTCAAATGCGCGAACAGTGTTTGGTGGCACTCCCCGACTAAAACAAGCTTGGAAGGAGGAGTAGCATCCACTTCCGTAATAGCTTGCCTCCGGAAACCCTATGAACCTGGAGAGAGGATGAAAGGCACCCAAGTGTTGAGGACTCTCCTTCCTAGGGTTGCTATGAGTCGCCTGCAACTCAACGGCACTTAACAACATCATCACTATTATTAGGGGTCTCTGGTGGCTTAGTGGGAAGGAGTTGTGCTGCCAAGCCAAAGATACACAGTTTCAGTCCACCAGCTACTCCCAGGAGAAAGATGGGTAGTCTGTTTCTGTGCCATTTACTGTCTCTGGAAACCTACTAGTTATCTATCAAGCGATTCCAGTTTGATGGTACATAACATCACTGTTATTTGCAATATAAACTAGAATATCTTCTCTTTTTCTCATGCCAAACCTTCAGCATTCTATTCTCTTTATAAGTATGTTCCCCAAGCCAAGCTATTAGATAGGTTGCCTTTCTTCATTATATATACAAGTTGGCTTAGTTTGTGCCATAACAACAAATTGAAATTCCGCACATAAGAGAGAAAACGCAAATTTTTACTTAAAAATTTCTCTTGATCATGGTAGATTTTTTACTAGAAGATAGGTAGGTAGAAGGTAAGTAGATTTTAAACTAGAAAATTCCTGAAGTTCTTAAATATTACCTGTTAGAAATTTATTTTCCTAAAATATATCAACAATGTATTTCAGAGTGATGAAAATGAACAAGATACAGAGGAGGGATCCAATAAGAGAGAGACACAGGTAAATAACATTACTTTTTATATTTTGAAGTTCATATGTTTTAATTATATTCATTTATGTTGAATAATTCAAAACCATTAGGGAAATTTGTACCTACACACTGGGCATGCCACAACAGTTGTTTGCATTGAGATTAGGAGTGGAAAGACTAAAGAAGCGTGAAGACTATTTTAGAAGTGATGGAAATGTTTTGGATTTTAATTGTAGTTGTGGTTTTATGGAGAAACACAACTGCTAAACCCATTCAACTCTCTATGAATATTATTTACAATGTCTAAAGTAATACTGAGAATTGAAAAGAATCAAAAAAGAAAGAACCTTTAACCAGAACAAAATAGCTAAAGGACATTGAGAAGCAGTGGATACTTCTCCAGCTCTACTTGGAGCACCTATCTGCTGGAGCATCAATAGACTTCTTTAACTCTTTAAAATTATTTAGATATTTAGAGTCTCCAGAACACTTTTACAATCATAATCACAGCTCATATTCACATCAATTTTTAGAAAAAAGTACTTCTCTTTTGAAGTATAATGTCATTTACAGAGCTTTGGTGGCTAGTGGTAAATTGTTACGCTGCCAACACAAAGGCAGATGGTTCAGATCCACCAGCTCCTCCATTGGAGAACAATGGACAGTCTCCTGCTGTTCAAACTTGATGGCATAAAACAACATAAAAATGTTATTTACATTGAGTTCCATTTTTATACTTGCTCTCATTTCTTTGCTATGCTTAAGCCCATTGTTGCAATCACTCTGTCAGTCCATCCAGTTGAGGGTCTCCTTCACCTTTCCAAGCATGATGTTCCTTTCCAAGGAATAGCCTCTCCTAGAAAAATATCCAAAGTGTGTGAGACAAAGCTTTTTATCCCTCCAAGGAGCACTCTGGCCTTACTTTGTCTAAGACATAGTGGTTTTCTGGCAGTCCGTGGGATATTGAGTACTCTTCTCCAACACCATAGCGCAAAGGCTTCGGTTTTAATTGTGTCATCCTTACTCATTGCCCAGCTCTCAGAAGCATAGCAAGTGATTGAAAATGCCATGGTCTTTCTTAACTTTAATCCATATAGCATTCTCTTGCTCTGTTCATATAATAACAGCCTCTTGGTCTTGGTATAGGCTGTGCATGAGCACAGTTAAGTTTTCTGAAATTCCTGTTCTTAGTGTTAGCCATACCATTGTGTAATCAATAAAGCATAGACAGATGTTCTTCTGGTATTCCCTGCTTTCAGCCAGGATCCATCTGACATTAGCAGTGATACCCCTGGTGCCACTTCCTCTTCTAAACCTAGGTTGAACCTCTGACAGTTTTCTCTGTATTGTTCTAGCCATTTTTTAATGACCTTCAGCAATATTTTGCTTGCATATGATATTAATGATACTGTTTATAATTTCCACATTCTGTTGGATCACTTTTCTAGGAAATAAGCACAAATACGGAGGCAGTTGTCTCCCAAGATTTCTGGCGTAGACTGGGGATCACGAGCAGGGTTCAGACTTGTCAGTTGATACATTATCGATTTCTGGGGCCTTATATTTTGCTAATGTCTTCAGTGCAGCTTGAACGTCTTCCTTTGTTACCATTGGCTCTTGATCATAAGGTGTTTCCTGAAATGCTTGCATGTCTGGCAATTCTTTTTGGTACAGTGATCCTGTGTTTTCCCTCCATCTTCTTTTAATTCTTCCTACATCATTCAAGATTTTCCCCGTATCATCTCTCAGTGTTGCAACTCAAGGCTTGAAGTTCTGAGCAAGTTTTTCCCTTTTTATTCTCTAGTTCTAGCTCTTGTCACATTTCCATTATAATAATTTGTTTTGTCTTCTCAAGTTGCCCTTTTGAAACCTTCTGTTCAGCTCTGTTACTTTAGCATCTCTTCCCTTTGTCTTGATGCTCTAATAACAATTTTCAGAGTCTAATCCAACATCCATTTTAGTTTTTTTCTTTATCTTTCTTATTTGTAGTGACATTTTGCTCTCTTCCTTGGTATTGTCCCACAACTTCATCTGGTTTTGGGTCAGTTGTGTTCAGTGCTTCAAAATTATTTCTTAAGATTCAAGACCATATTTTGGGATGGTGGATGTGTTTTCATTTTCTTCAGCCTCAGTTTTGAACATGCACATGAGTTTGTTCCATGCTCGGCACCTGGTCTGATTTTGATATTCAGCTTTTCCAGTGATTTCTTCCACAAATGTTTTCAATGATTGATTAGGAGAGACTAAAACAAAGTATGTGTTAGATAGTTTTCTATTCACATGTCCTGTACCGAAAACAGATTTACAGTTGATCCAAGAGGTAAAGAAATAGGAAATTGTAGCAGTTACCTTTATAGATAACATTAGAAAAAGTAAAGGAAGAGTATTACTTTTGAAAGGAAAGAATTGTTAAGGATAGGGAGAAAGGGGAAAACTGGCATTGTAAATCAAATTTAAGACTTTGGTAAAACATTTTTAATTCCAAATAGACTTTTAAATAGTCTAAAAGGAACACAGTAATTTTTATAGTGCAAATACAGTGAGAAATTATAAATCCTAAATTCAGAAATGACAAGCAACTTTTAAATTTTTAATGGCAGAAAACTGTAAAAAGTGTAAATGTACTTAGTTTTTCAGGAAAAAGAACTGAAAAACACATATACACATACCCGATCTTCTTTGGCCCCTGTCAAACTTTGTCACCGTGGTGATCATGTTGTCATTTAGATGAGAAGACTTACTAGAACTTCAACATCATTTATTTACTACTTGCCTGAGAAAATAGGCTTAAAGCAGTGATAATTCCCCACTCCTATAATTTCTGAACCTTACAAGAGTTTATAATTTCTAGAAAATATGGTTTTGACAAAATATTTTCTACTGTTAGGCATAAAATATCTTAGGTGTTTTTGTGTACATCTGATTTTTTTAGCCTCACAGTTTATTTTGAGATGTCACAGAGCAAACCTGGCATTTGTTAATGTTAAGTATGTTGCTTTCTAATACAAAATGAAAAATGAATCTTTTTCTTAGTCTCTGATGTTTTTTTCTTCTAATTATAAATATATAAGAAGGAGAAAAGGCTATTTATAAATTGCTAAAAGGGATTTGTATAATGTTGTGCATAGAACTGTTGTAATGTTAAATGTACTTTATCAGGTATAAATTAATCATTTATTGAAAGCATAAAAATTTAGTGTAATTATTTTTGTTTTTTGTTTTCTTTCAAGACGGATTCAGTCTCAAGGTATGTGTAACTGTTTCTAAAATTAATGTCAGTGTTTTTTTTCTTGGCTAAAAAATATTGCTATATTAATTTATAAATTGAGAGAATTTTTTGACAGAAAATTATACAAGTATACAAGTAATGCTTATCACTTTCTTAATTGAAAACTTCTAGTTCAAAGTCATATCTTTCTTAAATCTCAACAACAGGGGTAACTTAGTTTTGCCTGGGTTTCTTAGAATACTTTATCAGTGACTATCTCATTGTTGATATCAATGACTAATGAAACCCACCCATGACCTGAAATGATCTGACTAGATCGTCAGACTGTCTTATCCCTATTTGAGGTAAAAGAAATTAAGATGCTCTTTTTAGATTATCAGCTACCTGGACATTATTTATCTTTTCAGACACTCTTAATGTATATTCTTGAATTTCATCTCCATTTCACAGTTCTGAAAATTATTATGTTAGCCAAATCCTGTAAGACCCAGGGGGGGAAGAAATCATTATATACTGATGATTCTTTGGAATTAAAATGACATGACAGTACCACTTACCAGAAAAGAAAAGCTGATTTCAGAACCAGATTACAAGAAATTCTAATTATTTCTTATTAGAACAAACTCATATCTGTCACTTTAAACATACTTTATTTCTTCAAATATGTTATTAATTTTAAAGCACGTTAATAATTTTAAAGGTATATCCCCCACAAAAAGGAGAAGTATTGCCAGTTAAACTAAAATGCGCTATTAATTCAAAGCCATGTCTTGATTTAGAAGGGGCGAAATGTACAATTTTAAATAATTAAAATCTGATCAGTTATTGTTAAGATTATCATAATATGAAACCACATTTGACTTCCTCAAGGAACTCAAATAATGCAAATTAATAGCAATAACTTCTTATTGATTATGTATCACAAAAATAGAAATTAGCTAACAAATGAGTAAATGTTACCTACTATTTTGGAATGTCAAGTTAATTCATATTGGAATATATGTTAATGTAAATTGTGAAAGCCTATAATGAATTTTTTTTAATTGCATTTAAGATATGAAACCAGTTCTACATCAGCTAGTAATCGATACGATTCGTTGCTGGGTCGTTCTGGATCATATAGCAGACTAGAGAAAGAGGATTCAATTGATTTTAAAAAGGTACTTGAATTATTTAATTATACCTTTTTTTAATGTAATTTTAATGAAAGTTTACAAAGCGTATTGTTTTTCTTTCCATTCAACCATTCACACACATTTTGTTTTATAATATTTACTACAATATGGATGTGCTCACCAAGTTGTGCCAAGAAATATGGAGAACAACCACTTGGCCAACTGACTGGAAGAGATCTATATTTGTTCCCATTCCAAAGAAAGGTGACCCAACTGAGTGTGGAAACTACAGAAC